GGCGCCGCGGCGCGCCTCGGGCGGGGCCGCCCATGGATCGGCCGAGGCTCAGCCGCGGCGGGGCCCGCTCGACGGCGCGGGCCCGCTTCGTTCGGAGGCGCCGCGCGGCCGCGGACAGGCGCCGCTTCGGGCCGAAGGCGCGAGAGGAGGCTCGGTCGAACCCCTGCCGGGTCGCGCAGCCGAGGAGACGGGCGCACCCGCGCTGGAGACTGCGCGGCCAGGCTCGGGCCAGTAGCGGGCGAAGGGCGGGGTCGCGGGCTGCGCGCGCGCCGCGCGCGCGGACCCGGGGCGCGAGGCGCAGGTCGCTCTTGAGCGCGCGCGGTGCTCTGCGGCCTGCGGCGCTCGAGTGCATCGTCGGTGGCGCGGGCGGCTGGGCCCCCGGGCCGCGCGAGCCGACGGTGCCCGACCAGGCTCGTCGCGCCAGGGGCGGGGGCGCATCGCGTGGCAGACGCAGCCCGGGGCGACGGGCTCTCCGCTCGACCCGAGGTCTGGCATGTCGTCGCAGACGTCGAAGTGATTCTCGGCGCGGGCAGCCGTCAGTCGAGGGCCTCCGCGGCCGCCCGGCGGGCTCGTAGTCATCGGGGCTTTGGCGCGGCGGGTCGCGGGCGAGGGCCCCTCCTCGGGGCGGCGGGCGCGGGCGCGAGCAGCGGCGGGGCCCCGCGCGACCCCATCGGGCGCGGGGGCCCCGCTCGCGCGTCGGCGCGTCGCCCCCGCGCCCCCCCCCGCGCGGGGCCCGCGGGGGCGAGCGGAACTCGCGGACTGGCGCGCGCGGAGTCAAGACATGCAGCAGCGGCGACGCCGCCCCCTCGGCAGACGCGGCACCCCGGGAAGGAGGGGCCAGGCGGCTCAGGGCCGGACTGCAGGCGACCCCCCCCCCATGGAGGCGCAGCGACGGGCCCGCGGGGCAGCTCGCAGACGCCGACGAGCGGAGGCGGTCGAGTCCAATCAGTTCAGGCCCGCGAGGCATCCGGACATGCACCCGCTGCGCTGCGACGTCGCCTCGCACCGGCACCGCCCGCGCCGCGGGCCCTGGGGGGCGGGGGCAGCGCGGGGCGCTGCTGGGCGCTGGGGGGCGGTCGGGCGAGGCGCCATCCACGGGGGCGAGAAAACAATGTGCTCGGAGCGCCTGGCCCCCGCAGCAATGGCACCCCCCTTTGTTAATTTGGGGGGGGCGCTCTTGGGGCCGGGCGGCCGGGGGGGCCCGCTGGGCGGCGGCGAGCGAGGAGTTCGTCGGCGCGCGCGGGCAGTTGCAGAGGGACCCCCTCTCCTGGGGCGCGGGCGACTCGGCGGTTGGCAGCTGGAATTTTTGCGCGCGTGGAATTTCTGATTCTGCGCGGACCACCACCCCCGCCACCACCACCACCACCAACACACCACCGCCACCACCACCACTGCCACCACCAACACCCCCGCCACCGCCAACACCAACACCACCACCACCACCACCAACACCACCACCACCCACTCAAACACACACACGCATACAAACACGCACGCACCCCCACACACGCACACGCACACGCACGCACACGCGCACACACACACCCACACACACACAAACACGCACGCACGCACGCACGCACGCACGCACGCACGCACGCACGCACGCACGCACGCACGCACGCACGCACACACACACACACACACACACACACACACACACACACACACACACACACACACACACACACACACACACACACACACACACGCGCACACGCGCACACACACCACCACCACCACCACCACCACCACCACCACCGCCACCACCACCACCACCACCACAGCCCCGTAGGGTCGCCCCAAGGTCGTAGAGGCCCGAATGAGCCCCGCAGGGTCTCGGTTCGATTCGTGGAGGGAGGGATAGAACGAGGAAGGGATTAGACCGCGCCCCCTGGTCCCTCAGGGTGCCAATTGCGCAACTGTCGCCGCAGTGTGTGTGTGTGTGTGTGTGTGTGTGTGTGTGTGTGTGTGTGTGTGCGTGTGTGCGTGTGTGTGTGTGTGTGTGTGTGTGAGTGAGTGAGTGAGTGAGTGAGTGTGTGTGTGTGTGTGTGTGCGTGTGTGTGTGTGTGTGCGTGTGTGTGTGTGTGTGTGTGTGTGTGTGTGTGTGTGTGTGTGTGTGTGTGTGTGTGTGTGTGTGTGTGTGTGCGTGTGCGTGTGCGCGTGCGTGTGCGTGTGCGTGTGCGTGTGCGTGTGCGTGTGCGCGTGTGTGTGTGTGCGCGTGCGCGTGTGCGTGTGTGTGTGTGTGATAAGGGGGTTCCCCCTGTATTGATCTCCGTTCTGGTCAATATTCAAAAAGCGTTCGCCGCCGCACCGTCGGCTTTGCTTGGCTGGCGCGGCGTATCCATGTATCTACATCTATCCCCCCAGGCGCCGTCGCACCGATCCGTCTGCGCATCTTCTGTCCGTCTATCTGCCCATCCCCCGGGCGCCGTCGCACCCTCGGCGCGGCTTGACTGGCGGGGGGCGTCTATCCATTGGTGGCGGCCCATTTCTTCCAGTTACCCAAACGGAGGGAAATGGAAATGCTGCTAAGACCTGCCAAGGTTTACATGGCCGCCTCTTGGGCCTCGAGAGTGAATATTTACATTGGGGTTTGATCATTGAGTTTTCAACTTAACATGGCCTCCGATTGTCTAAAACCAATGCAGGATGCATCGCGCGCGCGCGGGTGGCCCGGCCCCGCGCGGGTCGCCAGCGCGCCCGCGCTCGCCTCGCATATTGCATTGTGTTTTCTATATTTGACGTTGGCACGGCCGCCTCTTGGGCCCAGAGAATGAATATTTACATTGGGTTTTGATCATTGAGTTTTCAACTTAACATGGCCTCCGATTCTATAAAACCAATGCAGGAGGCATCGCGCGCGCGCGCGGGTGACCCGGCACCGCGCGGGTCACCAGCGCGCCCGCGCGCCTCGCATATTGCATTGTGTTTTCTATATTTGACGTTGGCATGGCCGCCTCTTGGGCCCAGAGAATGAATATTTACATTGGGTTTTGATCATTGAGTTTTCAACTTAACATGGCCTCCGATTGTATAAAACCAATACAGGAGGCATCGCGCGCGCGCGCGGGTGACCCGGCACCGCGCGGGTCACCAGCGCGCCCGCGCGCTTCGCATATTGCATTGGTTTGTTTCTTTCCCACATTTATATGGCCGCCTCTTGGGCCCAGAGAATGAATTTTTACATTGGGTTTGGACAATTGAGTTTTCACCTTAACATGGCCTCCGATTGTATAAAACCAATACAGGATGCATCGCGCGCGCGCGCGGATGACCCGGCCCCGCGCGGGTCACCAGCGCGCCCGCGCTCGCCTCGCCCATTGTATTGTGTTTTCTATATTTGACGCGGGCATGGCCGCCTCTTGGGCCCAGAGAATGAATATTTACATTGGGTTTTGATCATTGAGTTTTCATATTAACATGGCCTCCGATTGTATAAAACCAATACAGGAGGCATCGCGCACGCGCGCGGGTGACCCGGCACCGCGCGGGTCACCAGCGCGCCCGCGCGCCTCGCATATTGCATTGTGTTTTCTATATTTGACGTTGGCATGGCCGCCTCTTGGGCCCAGAGAATGAATATTTACATTGGGTTTCGATCATTGAGTTTTCAACTTAACATGGCCTCCGATTCTATAAAACCAATACAGGAGGCATCGCGCGCGCGCGCGGGTGACCCGGCACCGCGCGGGTCACCAGCGCGCCCGCGCGGTTCGCATATTGTATTGGTTTGTATATTTTCCACATTTATATGGCCGCCTCTTGGGCCCAGAGAATGAATTTTTACATTGGGTCTCGACAATTGAGTTTTCACCTTAACATGGCCTCCGATGGAATAAAACCAATGCAGGATGCATCGCGCGCGCGGGTGACCCGGCCCCGCGCGGGTCACCAGCGCGCGCGCGCCTCGCATATTGCATTGGTTCTCTTGGGCCCAGATAGTGAATATTTACATTGGGTTTTGACCATTGAGTTTTGAAATTAACATGGCCTCCGATGGTATAAAACAATTACACGATGCATCGGGGCCCCGTGACCACGTGGAGCCGTCTTGGGGCGGTCTTGGAGCGTCTTGTACGCATGTTGGGAGCTATATTGAGTCATCGAGGGCTATCTTGAGCGATCTTGGAGGTCACCTTGAGCTCTCTTGGGCCCTCTTGGCGCCATCTTAGGCCATCTTCGGTGACCCAACGACCCGCGAAACGCCCCTTCCAGGCCCAGGGGGAGGGGGTGGGGGGGGGGTAAACCCCTCCCCCAAGGGGAAGAAGGGGGTTGAGGACAGAGAGGGCTCTTTAAACCACTCACGCCCAAAGGGCTGGTGGGATTTTTATATTGTGTTTTGGCCATTGCGTGCGCTGCAGAGATGTGTGCGCATGGTGAAGGCCGCGTTGGCTTTTCTCGGGCCGACGTCTCCATGTTGCGACGACGTCTCGGGCGAAACGGCCCCAAGCGGCCCTGCAAAGGCACCGAGGGTGAAGCAGAATGGCTTCCCCATCCTTCCCACAGTCTATCTTAGGAGTTCTCCGGAAACAAACGAACTGTCTATCTGTCGCGGCCTCGCCGGTCGCTGTCGCACCGTCGGCGAACGTGCTTGGTTACGTACTGTGCATCTGTCTGGCCACCCGCCGTCGCCGTCGCACCGAAAAAATTGCGCGCCACACATGGTTGAACTTCACTGTCCACGGCGCGCCCATCGCACATCGCACAACTTTTTACAATAACTTCTCAATAGTTCCGTGCGGCGGACAGATCGTTTTTGCGCATCTGTCCCCGACGGACCCGTCGCCGCCGCATCGGGGTGATCATCGTTGGGGGAACCCCCTCATTGTGCGTGTGGAGGGGGGTACGCAGATCCAGTTTAAAGGTGGCCACGCCTCCCTGCACTGCGCAACTGTCGCCGCTTTCGCGAGCCCCTTCTCCCCTCTCCCCTGTCTTCCGGAGCGGTTCTGGCTCTCAGCAGGCGCTGCATCTCGCGCACGCGCACTAGCGTGCGCCAGGGGCCAGGGCCAGAAGATGGCGAAAACATTTACCATCGAGGGCAGCGACATTGTCCTCAAAAAAAAAACGTACATGCACGTGTGGTTGGATCCTTTCTCCTGCTGGTCTTACCTTCCGTACACGACGCAAGAGCAGATGATCGGCACTAAGGGCGAGGACGATCCACATGGGGCTGGAGTTACAATGGCGGACGCCTGCACAGCATCCAGCATCATCGACGATTTAAAAACAGACTTCAGCTGGTTCGAGAATGAGCTCGACGCAGGGAAGTCCATCGTGGTACAGAAGGCCCAGGGGCACGACACTACGCGAGTGCTGACTCCAAAGGGCGACGCCTACAAAGGCTCGGAGACCATCTGGCCCAGATCGTGGCTCTTCGTCAGCGTGATTTCAGATGAACCGACATCGCCAGACCCTTTGCAGGGAACTCGCACTGGACCAGGAGCCTGGACACCGAGCAGAGCGACAATACCTACGAGAAGAACGACAGCACCGATGAGCGCAAGACCAACAAGTGCGGCGAGGTGTCAGTTACGGTCTTTGTCCAGGAGAAGGACGATTGGATCAAGATAAACCTCCCCGTGCCCGACGCCTCGAGCAGCAGCGGCGATGGGATGATGGCAGGGTTCCACAACGTGATGATTCTCAAACGCTGCGTGGCCACGACATTGAAGCTCGACTGTTCCAAGGAGAAGGTCACTGAGTACCGCATCTATCGGACAACTCCTGGCGGCCTGGCGACTGGGTCGGCCATGAAGGCTAACATCTTGATCAAACCGTGGGGCATGTACGTATGCGCGCTGAAACCAGACAGCGAAGTCGAGCTCGATGACGGCAGCAAAATGCTCGGCAACGAAATCATCATGATCGAGGATTCGGACCCGGAGGACCTCATGGGCCGTAATTGAGCCGATCCTTTGTGGAGCCATGTGACGTGAGCCGACGTTTGGTCGCTCACCCTTCGTGGGCTCTGTGCCAAGCAGGGCCTGGCGCGTCTTTCCCGCGTCGCGCGACGCCGTGGGACATAAGAGGAATGAGTTGCCCCAAGGAGTGACCGCAACGCAGAAATCAACTCCGCACCTGACATGGCCCCATAAGGCCCCAAGAAGCCCACCATAAGGCCCCCATAGCACTGCGTAACTGTCGCCGCTTTCGCGAGCCCCTTCTCCCCTCTCCCCTCGAACATTTCGTAGGACACGCGAGTGGCAGTACGCTGCACGTCTCATGTTTGAACGGGCCTCCTGGGGGCCTCTTGGGCGCTCTCGGCGGTCTCTTGGGCCGCTCTTGGGAGCCTCTCGGGGGCATCTCGGGGGCCCTTGCGGGCCTCTTGGGGGCATCTTGGGGGCCGCCAAAAGCTCCCAGAGGGGTCAAAGAAAAACAAAAATCTTAGGGCTCTCTCGGGGGCCTCTCGGGGCGCTCTTGGGGGCGTCTTGGGGCGCTCTCGGGCGCCGACACAAAAACCCGCGAACCCAAAAACTTGGGAACCCCGCCGCCCACCGAAATCGGCCCGGAACCAGCGACCAAGAACCTGGCAGCCCGGAGCCGGGTGTCAACGGACAACACGGGAACAATCACATTGTGCCGTATGGGCGTTCTCTTCTTTGTGTTTCTATTCCTCGCAACTCACGCCCGCAAGCCCTGCAAAGCCGGGGCATCAGGTTCTGAAAAAAACATGGGACAGCGAACTCGGGCAGCGTCGATTGGCAGTAAGTGGGCCGCAACAAACAATTAGCAACGACAAATTAAATATTGTCTCGGCGCTCAAACGCCGCCGTCGTGGCCCTTGTCGGCCTGCAGGGGATAGAGGTCGTGAAGCGCATGCATGAAATCTTGCGTATCTTCGGGGTGCATCTCAGGCTGCGTATCCATGTGCATCCCAGGCTGCGTATCTTCGGGGTGCATCTCAGGCTGCGTATCCTCTGGCACTGGTGGCGGCGGCGAATCCTCAATGTCTATACTCTCTCGAATCACGCTCTGGGGCTGCGGGGCATTTGGCGGCGGCCCCATCGGCAGCAGCGGGTTGGGGTTTAAAACGACGGCCGAACTGCGAAGCTTCTTGAGCCACGGGGTCGACTCACGCTGGCCCATCATGTGTGCGCTACTGGCTGGCACTGGGCTTGGCTGCCTCATCACCTGGCTCATGCTACTTGCTGCCGCTGCTGCTGCGCCACTGGATGCTGATGGTGCCGACCATGCTGCGGCTGCGCCAGAGCTCTTGGCGTCCGGCTGGTCGTCCGATGGGGCTGCGCCAGGGTTCTTCGCGTCGGGCTTGTCTTCCGATGGGGCTGCGCCAGGGTTCTCCGCGTCGGGCTTGTCGTCCGATGGGGCTGCGCCAGAGCTCCGGGCTGCGGTCTCGCCGGGGTTCTGGTTCTCGCAGGCCTGGGATTCGACAACGACGGGGGCTGCGGTTGGCGTCCCGACCAGGCGGAGCTCGGCAGGCACGGTGAAACGGTAAGTCCGCTCGAACTCACGCGGGAGGCCCTCGATCTCTGCTTTCATTTTGAGGCAAATTTTACCCTCGAGCCCCATCGGCATCTGTAGATATACTTGCGATGCGATTGCTCTGGCCATGGAGAACCGCGCCTGATGCCTCCTGAAGCCTCGTGAGGCTTGAGCCCAGATGGTTACGGACGTGCAGATCGATTGGCCACGACGCACTCACGTCACCGAGCTTTTCGAGCTCTTGGGCCGTCTCGGGCCGTCGGGAGGCCGAAGGGAAGCAAATGCCAATATCCTTCAAATTACCCCAGTGCGACCCTACCTAGAAGTTGGAGCCCCTAGGAAAGCAGCACTAGTTGCTATGCTCTGCTATGCTATGCTACGCGGTGCTATGCTGTGCTGTGTTGTGCTGCGCTATGCTATGCTATGCTGCGCTATGCTATGCTATGCTATGATATGATATGATATGATATGATATGATATGATATGATATGATATGCTGTGCTGCGCTAGGCTACGCTCTGCCATGCTGTGCTGTGTTGTGCTATGCTAAAGCTCGGCGAAACTAAGATGAAGGTAAGCTAAGCTAAGATACATCTGAGCTATGATGAAACTAAGCTAAGCTAAGCTAAGCTGAAATAAGCTAAGCTAAGATGAGATAAGCAACGCTAAGCTAAGGGGACGCCCCTGGGGGAACCACGGGGCGGATGCTGGGGTAACCGCCCGGGGCGGGACCCACTGCCCGGCCCTTTTAAGCTAAGAGAGTAAGAACCCTCTAAGAGCCTAGGTAGGGAAAAACCAACGGAACATCATAGATTTTGGCGTCTAGACCTGAGAGTTCTATAATCCTTCATTCCTGAGTACAGAGAACAGAGAAAACATTAGAGCCATGAGAAAATTCCACTTCGCGCCTCGCGGCACGGTGGCGGATTCTGCGATAATTAACGAGGTCGTGTAGGGCCGGCAAATTGAAAAGTTGAGGATGTCCCAAGCGAGACGCTGATACCCCAATTAGTGTTTGCATTGCAAAGAGTCCTAGTGGATGTTGAAAGATTTGGCGAACGTGCCTGGCCAATTTCGGTTGGCGGCCGGGTTCCCGGGCTGCGGGGGCTGCCCGGAACCCTCCTGGACGCTTCTCGGAGGGAGGGGGGGGGAGGGGAGAAGGGAGAAGAGAGGAGGGAGATGGGAGGGGGATAGTCAAGCTGTAAACGATTGCAGGGGCTTGTTTCATATGTACCAGGTTGATCAGCATCAGGTTTTTGAGCTGGTTTTTGTTGAACCAGGTCTTTCTGCGCCAGGCTTATCTGCGCCAGGTTTATCTGCGACAGGGATTGCCGGGGATTGTAGGGCATTGCAGGGGATTGCAGAGGATTGCAGGCGATGCGCCAGGTTGATGGACACCGAATTTTGTGCTGGACTTTGCTAGGGGCCCCGAATACATGTGCATGGGCCAGTCTTAATCATCTGGAGCGCCGTTTGCCAGAAGGAATTGCGGAGGCGGGGGGTGGGGGTAGGAATTGAGCATGACGAACGCAAAGGAATGAGAATAGTAAGGTGGATGAGGAATCTGATGACCAAAATGAAGGCTAATAAGGTGGATGAGGAGTCGGATGACCAAAATGGGGAGTGGCTGCGTTTGGTTGCGAGTGCCTGCCTGGAGTCTTCTCTGACCAGGCGCTATCAAACATGCCCCGCAGTTTGAACTCGCCACGCACAAGGATTATTCACGATAATCCACAACAAAATATCAGTTGCCGCGGGCAACAGTTCACCTACGAAATTGGAAAGCTTCTCCTTCTCCTCCTCATTCCCTCTTCCTTGTCCTCCCCCATCAAGCCTCCTCCTCCAACTGGGAAGCTAACGCTTGCACATGCCGTGTCTGGACGCAGCCTGATCTGCTTTCCCCAGCAGAACGACGCACTCCTTCGGAGTCAGAGCGTACTTTAAACGGCTGGGCTCTGGAGAAGCGAGCTTATCTGCTTCAGTCACAAGCGCAACGAAACGAGCCTGATTTCCGGGGTGTTTTGCAGCTCTCGACGCCCACCCCATTTTTTTGATTTTTTTGTTGTTTTTTTTGTATTTTCCTGTTTGTTTTCCTTTTGGTTTTTTTTTTTTGTTTTTGTTGAATTTTTTGATTTGTTTTTTCTTGGTTTTTATTTTTTTGGGATTGATTTTTGAGTTTTTGTTTTTGATTTTTGATGTTGATGAATTTGTTTTTTTGTTGTTTGTTGTTTTGATTGTTTTTGTGTTTTTGTTTTTTTGTTTTGTTTTTTGAATTTTTTCTTGTTTTGATTTTTTTTGAAGCATCCAAAACAAGCTTCGTATTGGATCAGGCTTGCTGGGCTTAGTTTCCCGCACTTTTTTTCTCTCATTTTTGTTTGGCTGCGTGCTCCAGCGTTCTACGCAGCGCTGGGAACTTGCAATAAATTTTGGGCTCATCCAGATGGCCCGATTAATCGTGATCACTGGTTGATACTTAAAACACGCGCCATCCGCGCCACCACTCTGAAAAAATGTCGGGGTGGCAAGCCGGGCTCCATTCCAAAGCGCACACCAGGACTTCAGGATGCCAACGTCGCTATTTTTTCCTGCCTTTTCTTTTTTTTTTTTTTTTTTGTTTTTTTTTTTTTTTTTTTTTTTTTTTTTATTTTTTTTGTTTTTTTTTTTTTTTTTTTTTTTTTTTTATTTTTTTTTTATTCTGTGTTGTTTTTTTTTTTTTTTTTGTTTTTTTTTTGTATCTTTATTCTTTTGTCTTTTTGTTTTATTTCTTTATTTTTTTTTTTTTTTTTTTTTTTTATTTTCTTTTTTTTGTTGTTTTATATCACTGACCACAAACATGTCAACATCAACGTCTACGGAGGCCCGCCTCATATGAAACTTCCCCAAGGCCACCTGGACTTCACTGGGTTCCATCATATCCATCTCGACGTGGACTCGGCATCCAAAGACTGAAATGGCTCCAGACTTCGAGAGCAGACGTTCCTTTGTGTTGTCAGTTCTGTTCCGTGCTTCTCGAAGTTTGTCATTATGGGCCCTGAAGGCGTTGACGAGGGTGGACAAGTTGCCATCGGTGGCATCAGGAACGAGTTCTTGGTCTGCAGCCTCCAGATACCGAATCTGCTTCTGTGCCCGTTGCCACGTCTCTTCTTTCTCATGAGATGGTTGCCATGCTGATCCCGCCTTTTCCGTCGCCAGCCTCACTGCCTCTGAAGTCGACACGATCTCATCTCTTGCGAGCTCAGACACCTCCAGCCGCCGACGTTTTATCCACGCCGCATGGCCCGGGGTCTCAGGATCATCCCGGTGCCGCTTGTAACCAGCCATGCGTTGCGAAGATGCTCGGACTAAACCATGCAAGGCTTGCCAAACTTTCACTGCTCCTGCAAAGACGGCATCTTCATCATGATACTTGTAAGCAGCGACGGTAAGCATGTCCAACTCCGCCTGAGGCGACAGCGACCGTCGTTTC